AAAAAAAAAAATATTATAGATACTGTGATATTATCATATTACACAGACTAAACTTTAAAATTGTTCAGTCAAAGATTTTCTACAGCAAATTGTTCAGGTTTCAAATGTCTACCATCATTAACAAATATTTATTTTTTAAATAAAATGTAAAATTCTGTATATATTATTAAACACTGTACCTTAGGCCAGCAATTCCTCTTTGCCTTGTATTTGTGATATGCGCGACCAGCTTTTAAAATTGGTTTATCAATACGTCCACCACCAGCAACAATGCCGACCATTGCTCTGTTGTTAGATGGTATAACCTTTTTGGCGCCAGATGGTAGTTTTACTCTAGTTTTTTTTGTGTCAGGATTATGAGCTATAACTGTAGCATAATTTCCTGAAGCTCTTGCCAATCGACCTCTGTCACCAGTTTTTTCTTCTAAATTACAAACAATGGTACCTTCAGGCATTTGACCAACAGGCATCACATTTCCAATTTGGAGATTTGCTGTGAAACAATATATTCTGTATTAATAATTTACATTAGTAATTTTTAAATATTTTATCATAAATTAACATATTTTAAATATATCCTAGTTAAAGTTTACCTTTCTTTCCACAGTATAAAAATTGTCCAGTGTACATTCCTTCAGGAGCAATAAATAATTCTTTGCGTGTTTTGAATTTATACGGATCCCTGAAATGAACAACGGCCAATGGTGCACCACGACCAGGATCATGAATAATATCCTATAAATACAATCTTTTTTAACAAAAGAATATAACAGATGTTATGTTATAAAATATATGATAGTCTCAGAAAGAGCCTCTAGTTATTATTCTTCAAAATCTTATTCAGAAGTAGGTATACTAGAATTCATCATGTAATTTATAACAAATAAGAATTACAAAACTGATAAATAAGATATTTTTAAACAAAAGTAATAAATAAATTTGAAATGAAGCAAACCTTCACAACACCTTTGATGTAACCATGTCTCTCAGAGAAATCCAAGGAGCGAAGTTTCGGAGCTCCCTTTCTCCTTTTTGTATGTGATCTGAAGACAGATCCAGCTCCCTTACGCTGAGCACGAATTACTCGACCCATAATTCAAAATCTAAAACGTATATAAAATGTTAAATTACTCTTACAACAATAAACTCAATACAAAATGTGACATTATCTGTTATTCCCAAAACCAACATAACCTCCAAAAGATACAAACAAAATTTAACTTTCTAATTTTCTTTTCAAAATCTAAAATATATATAAAAACATGTAGAAAATGAATAACATTGTTCTAAGAACAATCATTTTATAGCAGATGTATTTTATTTTTGCAAATTTAAGAGGATTTTAAATGAAAGGTAATCACATAGCACATACCGACCGAACCGATATTAAATAGAGAAAAACGCAGCCGGAAATGGAGTAACGTGTAAGATTTAAATTGGTTGCCCTGTTTGCCCGCCAAAATATTTAATTTAAAAAATCAAAATATGCTTTCTAAAAAAAGATACTTGATACTTACTTTCTAAAAATACCATTACAAAAATGATAATCTACAACTACTAATTTTGTAATACTAAGCATTTGCATTTGTATTTTTATTCTATATAAAATCTCTTATCTGTAGTTGTCATCACATGTTATCAAAGTTATGACATAAAGAAGCGGATGTGCAACTATTACAGTACAAGCATTCAAAATGACTAGACGTGTTTGCACAATACTAATCATTTTATTTTATATATTAACGACGGTTACGTCGTATCATCTAAGAAGACAGAAAAGGATTGTTGGTGGTCGTGCAGCTGCACAACCTCCTGTGGATGATCCTGTTGTTTATCTAACACAAAGTGATCGACAAGCACGTATTTATGGTACTCGAGATCCAAATAAAGGATTTTACGTTTTTCGTGGCATTCGATTTGGACGACCTCCAGTAGGTCTAAATCGATTTCAAGTAAGTCTTTTTTCCGGTAAAAAAGTAATTGATATTATTCAGTTAATATATTACTGTATATCATTATATTATCATTTCTCAAACTCATAATATTTTTTATTCTGTATTTCATTTTTCCAAAATGATTTAAATGAAAACAGTCATCTTATATCCATTAATTCTCTTCAATTTTCGTTATTTCGTAATCTTTTATCGGTAATATTTAAATATCTTTTTAGAAAAGAAAATTTTACAATATATATTTATTGATTTATTTTTATAGTTGCATCAACTCCATAGGATTATTAGCAACTATTTTAATTTACAAAACTAATTTGTTTTCTTAATTAATTACAAAACTTAAATGATTTCAGCTATATTTAAAAATTGATAGATATTACAATGTATATTACAATGATAAAACTTTATCATTATACAATATATGTGGACATCAGTTTATCAATTCATTGTGTGAAAACATCCTGTCAAAACGATTGCATGATTCAATTTAATAAACATGATAGTATTATCTTTAATAATTTGTTTCAATTACATTTTTCTCAAACAAAACATACTTATTAAATAAGACATAAAAATTATTATTAATAATAAATTATACTTGTCACTGATAATAAACTACAAGCGTATTTATTAAATAAAACAAAAAGTTATTATTTCGTTTTAGAGACCTATACCTCAGCATTTAGAAGGGGAAATTAATGCTACAAAATGGGGACCACCGTGTTCACAGCCTGATATTAACGGCAAGAAAATTATAGGAAGTGAAGATTGTCTCTTTTTGAACGTATTCACACCTATGCTTCCAGATGCTAGCGACGGATATCCTGTATTAATTTGGATACATGGGGGTGGTTTTAGAAGGGGTTCAGCTTGTCAATATGAAATGAGAAACATAATTAATAAAAAATTAATAGTTGTATCAATACAATACAGATTAGGTTCACTCGGTAATTAAGCTATAAACATAATTTCTGTTCCTTGTATAATAATATCAAAGAATTTAAAATATTTTAAATTAAATTAAATTTTAAATACTTAAATTGAATTAAAAAATAATTTTTAATAACTGGTTTAATTAGTTATTTTAAATATTCATAAAATTATTTTAATTTTTGAATTAAATTAAGTTTTATACATACATTATCGATTTATGTATAATTAGGATTTTTAAGTTCCGGTACGAAGGAATTACCAGGTAATAATGGTATATTTGACATAATGTTGGCGGTTAAATGGGTGGAAGATTATATAGAGTATTTTGGTGGAAATCCGAAGAAAATTGTAGCATTTGGTCACGGCACAGGAGCTAGTGCTGCTTTCATGCTTGCATTATCCAAATTATCCAAAAGTAAATAATGTTATATGCGATATAAAATTTTAACGATGAGTTTCTATAAATAACAACTCTACAATGAATTCTTTTTTAGATACTTTAAGCGGGTTGATTGCCATGTCAGGTTCTATTTTATCTCATTTTGCAATTGATAAAAATCCTTCATCCACCGTACAATACATCGCCTCGACGAATGGATGCCCCACAAGTGATACAATTGAAATGGTCCGTTGCCTTCAACAAATACCAGTTAATAGATTGATAGAAGTTGACTCTAGCTTGGAAACTATACGTTCTACAATTGATGGCTTTCTATCTGGTTTATCGAACTTACTAGGCCCTGGTCCTGTAATTGAAGGCAACGATGATGGAAGGTATATATCTACGCAATTGAAATTTTATAATGTTGTTATAAATTATTCCGATTATTACACTTTTATGCAAATTTGTATTTGTGAAGAATAATCATAAATTTAAGAGTAAATTAATTTCATTTTCATAAATTAAAGAAATTGAACTTAAATAAAGATTTGTTTAGCAGCTAAATATTTATAATGAATAGTATACTTTGG